CAAAGAAAGCCCAGAATTACTACATGGCACCAGCTTCTTCTTCCCAAATGAGATGAGATATAGGAAAAACCTATGGTAATTGTAATCAAAAGCCAAATAAGCAGAATAAGTAAGATAAACTCCGTCCAGCTCAGCTAACATTTGAGTTGATAAATGTCCATTTTGAGCCAGGCAGTTTTTAAAGAGTATGTACTCCCTATGGAGATATTCTGGTGAAATAGAGAGGCAGATCTTAGCCTAAAAGGGGGTAGCCCAGAAGACTTAACAAGGGAGACAAATATTAAATGAGTAAGGCCTTTCAAAAGTGTGGGGATTTCAAAAGTAGAGGCTACCAGGCTGAGGGAACAGTACCCTTAAACGCATTTCCTTTACTGTTCTTGAGTTTCTCAATGCTAAGCTATTCAATCCTTCATGCCTTATATTTCATATCTTAGTCTATTTCCTCAACCGGGTATGTTAGAACAGCCAGAACACGATGTCATGTTGGGTAAAGCACTTTTATGTGAGTAAATTGGACCAGTTCTGTGGTTCTCCTACCCTTCCATTTCACTTGTCAGTACAATTTAAAAAATAACTATTAATCTGTATAGAGTTACTAACAATGTATTTTGGATAAATAAGGAGTTAAAAGGAAAAATAAAAACAACAGCAAAATATGACCTCTAAGTATAATCATTTCACAAAAGAAAGGTCATTTTAACAACAAAAACCATAGAAAGGCTTCTTAAGCAAAGAATGACATCATTAAGTGAAATAATTTAGCTTTATACATTTTTTTTTCTAACATCTTCTAGTTTTAATTTGGCCCAGACTCAAGAAGATTCTTTTCACAAACTGACTCCAGAGTACAAAGTGACTGGGAATATGGGAGTATCCTTTCTTGAACTTGCCAGCTTTATCCTCGTCATTTTTCTCACTGTAGTTACCTGGTAGAAACTTGTATCTTCAAGCACATAGGTTCGAGGAACTTCCAAGTCTCCTTCTGGTTTTCATTTGCTTATAACCTTAAACCACTACTGACTTTAAAGTGTTCAGCATAAAACCCAATTTGTGCCTTTATTCATTTACAACAGATGGGACCAGAGTGAAAGGGGGGAGCAGGTTATAGCTTCCCTTTTCTGTAGCCCCTTTATAAAATCACTTGCATCATTTTTATAAGGATCACACTTTTTTCTAAGATGTGATTCTTATAAAGGATACACACTTCATTTTAGAACAGTTTAGTAAGTAGTAAACCTGGACTCTCAAAGTCTCCATAAAAAAGTTATGGCCAAACTGACCTTCATCTTAATCACAATACCCAAACCTAATAGTTTCCCAAACATGCAGGAGCCCTAAACAGAATGACATTCCAGTAACATATGCTGAAGTTACAACTGCTGACCATGAATGCTGCCAGTCCTAAAAAAACCAAGAGCTGTTGTTTACCACGGTGAGAAATGGGATAAGAAAGAATTATTACTCTTCCTGACTAAAGCTATATTGTCAGTCTGCCAAAGGAATGGTAGTTAAAATTCTTCTAAAAATTATATTTCTGGGGACATGAGTAACTATCACCTATGATAAATATATCTATTTTTTTTCAATTTTGACTATAATTTGAAGGGAAGATTCAAGAAGCAGGCTATTAAAGAGAGGGGTAAAAGATTATAGGCGTAAAGCAAATTAGTAAATAATAGTAATTTAAAAATACTGAAAGAAGGAATTGTAGAAAAGAAAAGCATACCCTCTCTGCAGATAAAGCATGCCTTTTTTGATACTTATATCACTGGACCATGTAAAATTCCCATCAATTATTCTCATACTTTGTCATTTAGCTTACAATATACAGTATAAACTATGGTAACTGACTGTGTTGGGCTAGTAAGATAATGCCTGGTCTGGATCACTGAATATGTCTTCATAGTAACAATTGAATAAAAATACTTAAAAAAAATCAATTAGCAATGATGGAAGTCTTTTCAGTAATGACATAAAAAATAATGTATTTTCTATTTGGTAAAGAAAAGTACAGGCAGAAATAAAATCTATTTTAATCACTAGGTGTGTGCCTTAAGAACAATTGCATGACCAAAATCAAGTATAGCTTTTAAGTGGCAAGTGGTAGAAGAAAAACTAAACTTCGGGAAAATCAATCTTTGAATGAGGAGTGGTTTGAGAAATGTTAGATCTTTCGATCTGTAAAGGACTAAATGATAAAGACTTTAGTTTTAATTGAGTTAGATTTACATTGTTCCATTTAAATGACTCTTAAAACATTCAGAGTATTAACGGTCTCAAATATAACAAAAGAAATGGGGAATAATTTAATAAATTATAATCCTGTTTTAAAGATACAGATTTAAAGATTTATTTATTTATTTATTTGAGAGAGAGAGCAAGCACACAGAGGGAGAGGGAGAAGCAGACTCCCCACTGAGCAGGGAGCCCCATGCAGGGCTCGATCCCAGGACCCTGAGATCATGGCCTGAGGGTAGAAAAAATGAATGTTTTATTTCTTAGATAAGATTACATGTTCTTATTGAGGAAGTAAATATCCAGTGTAGAAAATTAGAAAATAAAGGGAGCAAGAACAATATGAACTGTCCCCCAACCCCAAACATACTTCCAGACTTTTTCTAAGGATAAAGACCTTTTTTTTTTTCTCTGAAATGTGATCTTACAGTACATCCTCTTTTGTGACCTCTGTTTGTCATCATTTGTCTTCATTTCACCATTTCTGTATTGTACCTTTGTCTCCATTTCTTCTATTTTCCATTGCACTTTTTGACTCTTTAATGCAGATTATATTTAAATTATCTTCATTAAACCTAAAGTTGTTCCAATCAGTACCTAAGAATCGTTTTTTGCTTTGATGTCTCTAAAATTTCTTTTCACATTTATTTGATTTTTTTTTAAGATTTTATTTATTCATGAGAGACAGAGAGAGAAAGAGAGAGAGAGGCATGATGATGTGGGACTTGATCCTAGGACCCTTGGATCATGACCTGAGCCGAAGGCAGACACTTAACCAAATGAGCCACCTAGGTGCCCCAATTTGATGTTCTTGAAAACTTCATCTGTCACATTTGCTTATGCCTCCACCTGTTTCAAAAGTTTTTACGACCAAAACATCTAACACTTATGAAATGGGAAAGAGGATAACTGTGTGTATTTATGTATGAGACTAATAGTATCCTTAATTACTAACATAATATATACTGAAAACAGTTCTATTTTTAAAAATGTTTTTGTCCTTGCTCTATATGCTTAGGGGTGTTCAGTTAAATTAATGTGTTTTAAAGGCACTTGGACTAATTCCACTTTGGGTGTTTTTTTTTTTTACCATCAATTCAATACATAGTTTCATTTGTTTCAATTTGCTTTCAGGTTTTAGGAATGCTATTTTTTTCCCTTTTAAATATGTTTTGTTTTACAATTATACAGAATATTTAGATGGTTCTAGGAAAAAACCTATGAAACAGCATATTCGAAGAAGTCTAGCTGTTATTTCTGTCCTCTTCGTCCTCTTCTCTCTTATTTCCCAAAATATCCATATGTTTTCTAATTTCAAAATTATTTTTCCAGCTCTTACAATAAGCTATATACATATGTATATACTAACAGTTAATATGTTTGCTTTTATATATTTTTTAAAGATCTATTTATTTATTTGAGAGAGAGAGGCAGGGGCAGAGGGAGAATCTTAAGCAGACTTTGCACTGAGCAGAGCCCTACACGGGGCTCGATCTCATGACTCTCAGATCACAACCTGAGCCCAAACCGAGTCGGACGCCTAACCAATGTGCCACCAGGCACCCCTGTTTGCTTATATTTAATGTATTCCTATTTATACTTAACAGGTTGCATATACTGTCCCCTTCTTAGGTACACAATAGCATATTACACCACTCTCTCCATCTAGCTTTCTTTATTTACCAATATATACTGGAGAAAAATCCTTAGTAGTTTATAGACATATTCCTTTTGTGTGTTAGGATTAGTATTGCCTAGAACTCTATTGGTCTACTTTACTGTGTGTATTTAACTAACCCATGTCCCTTATTGATGTACATTTGGGTTTTTTCCCCAGGCTTTATTTTTCAGGTATTGCTACCACAAATAGCCTTTTACACATCATTTTATTTTTCATATTTTTCTCAGTGTATCTTTGGGATATGTTCTTAGAAGCAGTATTACTGGGTCACAAAACAAATGCAAAAATGTTGCTGGTAATTACTAAATTTCCTTCCAAAGTGGTTTTAACATTTTGCATTTCCATTACCAATATAGGAGAATGTTTTATTCTCTTTCATCCACACAGGGTATTGCCAAACTTCTGGATGTTAGCCAATACAATATGTGAGAAATAGGATCTCCGGGTGGTTTTAATTTGCAATTTCTTATTATGAGCAAAGCAGAACATCTTTCCATATTTTTCAGAGCATTTCTATTCCTGTTCTCTTTGAGCTACCTGAATATTTTTTTCATTTTTCTATAGCACTGGGACTTGTTTGTTTTTATATGTTAATAGATTTAACAGATTACCCATATCTATTGTACAAATTATTTTTTTTTCAGTTTGTCATTTTCTATTTTTCAGTGGTGAATTTATCAATTTACTGATATTTTCCATTATTTTGTTTATAAATTGTGTCCTAATATGGACAATTTTCTCCATTTTGGATTTTTAGTCAAACCTACCACCTATGTTCTCTTCTAGTACTTTTAAGGTTTTTCTTTTTTTTTTTTTTTAAATGTCTAACCCATTTAGAAGTTATCCAGCACATGATAGGAGGACTGGACCTACATTTATTTTCTCTATGTAGCTCTCATTACACAAACTTATTTATTACAAAGTTGTATCTTTTCCTCTCTGATTTGAGATGCCATTTTTATCTTACACTGGCATTGCATCCTCAGTTTGGAATATTTCCAGATTTTCATTAATGAGGTATGTTTTTAATTAACACTGATTTGTTGACGTGAATGGGACAGTTGTCCAAAAGAACATCCTACCTTCTGATTTTGTCTGCTTGTTTCCTCTTGATGTCCTTTAGCTTATTGCTCTGCCATATTTTCAGTAAACTGTAAGTTAAATGTAAAAGCTTGATGAATTCAAATGAGACATTTTTGATTAGAATAATCATTGGTGAAATTATATACCTCATAGTATATCACAGCAGAAATTACATAATATCTGGTTGACCTACCCTCAATGATGCTAAAATTATCCACCACACTTGTTAACATAAATGATCTCTCTGTTGTACATTTTTCCCTTGAGATATGTCTAATAACAAAAATTAGGATTAAGTTTCTTTAAAATAGATTGATATCTTTTATAAAAATAATACACAGACTAGAGGACAAAAATAATTGAAAATGTGTTTGTTAAGGTTGCTAGAGTTACAGGTATTTTCTTTTCAAAATTATCCTTAATGTTGTATTTTCATGTACTTCTACTTTTATTTTTTATTTTTTTAAATTTTTTATTTATTTATTCATGAGAGTCAGAGAGAGAGAGAGAGAGGCAGAGGCAGAGAGAGAAGCAGGCTCCCCGCCCAGCAGGGAGCCAGATGCGGGACTCGATCCCAGGACTCTGGGATCATGACCTGAGCTGAAGGCAGACGCTCAACCATCTGAGCCACCCAGGTGCCCCTCATGTACTTCTACTTTTAAAAACTTATTTATATCATTATTAAAACAAGGGTCTAAACTATCGCACCCAAATCATATCAGCAGTAGATATTTTAATTGGTTTTGGGCTTTTTGTTTTGTTTTGTTGTTGTTTTGCTGTTGTTGTTTTGTTTTGTTTTGAGAGAGAGAGAATGCACACGGTAAGGGACTGGGGGAGGGGCAGAGGGAGAGGGAAAGAGAGAATCTTAAGCAGTCCCCACGCCCCGCACAGAGCCCGTCACGAGGCTAGATCTCAGGACCCAGAGATCATGACCTGAGCTGAAATCAAGAGACAGACATTCTACTGACTGAGCCACCCAGGCGTCCCTCATCAGTAGATATTTTAATGACATATGTATCATTCAAACATTTTCTCTTTTCACTTATTCCCTTATTCCAAGCAAAGGAAATGGAAGAATAGGTCCATATTAAACAATTTAAAAAAAATTGATGATTGTAATTTCTGATTTAAAAAATGTACTTATTATTTATTTTCAATTTTTTGTTTGTTTTTTATGAATTCGTTTTTCATGAATTTGCATGCGTTCCTTGCAGAGTCCATGTTAATCTCCTCTGTATCATTCCAATTTTAGTATACATGCTGCCAAAGAAAGCACTGTTTTCAGTTTTATAGAATTATTACTAACACACAATTAATCAATACAATCAAGATTTGACAGGTAATTATTAAACAAATCATTTTTAATGAGATGAGTGAGTTTTTACTCTAATTACTTTATGTAGACATGGATTAATATAACTTATTTCTAGAATCATCCAGGATTCATCCTCAAATTTACTCCTCTTTTTCATGGTTACAAATGCCAGCAGTAAGCAATATATTTCATATTTTAAAAAATAAATAAATGGAAATGAAAATTATTCTAGCAGAGATATATCACTCAATTATTTAAACTTTTTCTGTGTTGTATGCCAAAATTATATTGTGATCTTTTAACCAAATTACTTTTAATGATTTATTAGCTGACAACTCAATTAGGTCCTCCTTTAATTTTGTTGAAAGCAAACACTGGAAACCACTAGAATTGTAAAAGCATTTGTTACCCAGTCATCAAAGTCAGGCACATCTTCAACTTTCGGGAAGTTTAAAAACAGGCTATACTAAGACCCATCAAGTTTCTAGGTTTTCATACAAATGTCTGAAGTTAAAGGAGGTTTCTTAGGCAATGTTTTTTTTCGCTGTTTCGTTGTTTGGCACACTGGGGATTTTTACATATAATGCCAAATGCACCATGGCGAGATCCAAGATATGTGAGAATAAGTGGAAGAGGGAGACGGGGTCAGAAAAGAGAACTGGCATAACATCTGCAGAAAATATCTATTCCAGTCCTCTGTCCATTTTAAAATTGGATTATTTGTTTTGTGGTGTTGAGTTGTATGAGTTCTTTATATATTTTTGATATTAATCCTTATCAGATACGTCATTTGCAAATATCTTCTCCCATTCAGTAGGTTGCCTTTTGTTTTGTTGATAGCTTCCTTCACTGTGCAAAAACTTTTTAGTTATCAAACTAGTAGTAGTCCCAATTGTTTATTTTTGTTTTACTTCCCTGAGACAGATCCAGAAAAATGTTGCTAAGGTTGATGTCCAAGAGTTTTCTTTTAGGAGTTTTATGGTTGCACGTCTTACATTTAGGTCTTTAATCCATTTTGAGTTTACTTTTATGTATGGTGTACAAGGTAGTCCAATCTCTTTTTTACATGTAGCTGTCCAGTTTTTCCAGAACCATTTATTGAAGAGACTGTTTATTCTCCATTGTATATCCTTGCCTTATTTGTCATAGATTAAATGATCATATAAACATGGGTTAACTTCTGGGCTCCCTATTCTGTTCCATTGACCTATGTGCCTATTTTTGTGCCAGTACTATATTGTTTTGATTACTATAGATTTGTAATAGAATCTGAAATCTGGGATTGGAATACCTCCAGCTTTGTTCTCCTTTCTCAGGACTGCTTTGGTATTTGGAGTCTTTTGTAGTTCCAAAGAAATTTACGGATGGTCAACAGACAAATGAAAAGATGATCAACATCACTAATCATCAGGGAAATGCAAATCAAAACTACAGTGAGATATCAACTCACACCAATCAAAACAACTAGTATTAAAAAGATAAAAAACAACAAGGGCTGGTGAGGATGTAGAGAAAAGAGAACCTTCATGCACTATTGGTGGGAATGTAAACTGGTGCTGCCACTATGAATAGTAGTAGAAGTACCATATGATCCAATAACACCATTAGGGGGTATTTACCCAAAGAATATTGAAACACATATTTGAGAAGATATACACAACTCTATGTTTATTGCAGCATTATTTACAATAGCCAAGATATGAAAGCAACAAAAGTGGCCATCAGTAGGTGAATGGAAAAAGAAAACAATGTAATTTAAGGACAGTATCATTTCAAGGAGTTAAGCACATCATTTTTCCTAGTGCTTACACACATAATTTAAAAATAATTTTATTATAATGAAAGGAAGATGTTATTTGAGGGTTATTCTAAGCATAGTGTAGTTTCATGGATGAAAGCATATGGCTTTTCCCAAGTGCTTGTATACCTAAATTCAAAATCATTTATAAGTTAATGAAAGGAAGATGTTTCTTGACACCCACACCACACATACACCACAGACACAACTGACCTGTATCTCTAAACAACACATATGCACCACATATAACACACATACCACACACACACATACACAGCACAGATAAGTCACACTCACCAAGACACACACACCACACACAGTACACATATACCAAGCTTATATCACACAACACATCACATACACCAAACACACACCCTACACATACACAGCTCACACAGAACATATACACTACATACATCATCCATACATCATGCATACACATCACACATAGAGCACTCACAACACATAACCATACATACCACACATATAACACACACACACAAGACATAAACCATGTAACAGCACATAGAATATGGAATATTACTCAGCCATAAAAAATAATGAGATCTTAACATTTGCAACAACATGGATGGACCTAGAGGGTATTATGCTAAGTGAAATCAGTCAGACAGAAAAAGACAAATACCATATGATTTCACTTACATGTGGAGTCTAAAAAAACATAACAAATGAGCAAATAAACAAAAACTAAAACAGAATCATAGAAAACAAGCTGGTGGTTGCTAGAGGGGAGATTGTGGGGAATGGGCAAAGTGAGTGAAGAGGATTAAGATTAGTCATAGAGATGTAAAGTACCACATAGGGAGTATATAGTCAATAATATTGCAATACTTTTGGTGACAGATGGTAACTACACTTATCACGTGAGCATTTCATAATATATACAATTATTGAATCACTATGTTGTGCACCTGACACTAATATAATATTGCATGCCAACTATACTTCAATTAAAATAAAAGTGGGGAAATGGTGTAATATCTTGACTACAAGTATGTTCCAGACACACACATTTTAGCAGAGAGTATTCATGAAAGTTGAGAAGTGGAGCGGGAAAGTGACTTCCTTAACACTGTTCATACTTGCTTCTCCCTCAGAAAGTAAGTTTTTCAGGGGAAAATACCTCTCAGTTTGAAGAGCACAGTCATAGGTCATAAAAAAGTCATGTACAGTGCTTCTTAAAGTAAAAAAAAAAATGTTGATAGAAGAGATGCTGAAAAGTTTCAAGAAACTAATTTAGCAACTAACATGTCAACATTGTCTAACTTCACTTCTCTCCTTGATCTTCTGGAAACCTGTATGTTCTCTTTCCTGAAAAGACTTAAATTGAGTCGGTTGAAATCTGCTGTTCCTCAGATGAACATAGTTTGAGCCAAATAGCAGCCCCCTTCCACATGAAAAGATTCTCAGGTTTAAGGGTTAGAAACTTCAGAGACCTGGCATTTAGCTTATTACAACAGTGACACGTAGTCCTCATGAAGCATGAGATAGACGATAAAATTTAGTAAATATTGTCTTCAGTATTATTATAGGAGGTATTAGTGCCTTAATATACTAGATATTAATGCCTTATTATAGTGTTCAAAATACAATGGTATGTTTATGCATATTTACACATTGTTATGTATTGTATATAAATTATTATTTGACATGTTATATATTAGTGCTTAGGGAAAGACTCTATAAAGTTCCACTTAATTTTTGTTATTTGTTTTAGCAAGCTGAATTATGCCTTTCTCTATGAACAACTACTATCACTACTAACTTAGATTACTTAAAATAAAAGGCAATCCAGAAAGCATTGGTAGTAAATTGACATACACGTGTCAAAGTATTTAAAACGTTTTGGTGTTAGGTGAGGTATGATAAATTAAACAGAGATGGAAAAATGAATAGAAAATTGCATAGATGTTACGCATGGTAAGAATGTTTTTGATTCAATTCTAGGATTTAATAATATTTTGATTTAAAGCTTAGACAAAATTCAAATCTTTTAAAATTGAGGCTCATTGGCAAATATTAATTCTTTTTCATTTTTCATTTTTCCCTTAAAAATAAGTTACCATAGTGTATTGAAGGGGCCATTTGTACATTTAATAGTTCTTATTAAATAAGAAACATTCAGACCATTTCCTTGAAAATACGTATGGCTGTAAATACTAATGGAAAATGTTCTTGGCAAGTTAATTTTGGAGCTTGCCAAACCCCAGACATCTTAGCAATGCTTGAAGATGTTATAATGAACAAAACATACTACCAGTTCACTGAACCTTGGAGTTATGTGTCAGGAAAGTAGACAAAATAACAAATATGTTGTCATGCTTTCACTAAACCAAAGCCATTCTCATGCGTCTGAATTTAGACTGAGGGCTTCTTCCATTTTTTAGTTCAGCTGTGGGATGTGTTAGTGCGATTAAACCACTGGCAAGTTCCAGTAGGACTTGCCATCAGTTGCTTATAATTATCTCTGAAGAATTTTCTGAAGATTTCCATAAAAGGATAAGGTAGCATTGGATGAGTTGTCTAAAATTTACAGTAGGGGATGAATTTCCTACCAGTGATTCATGGAAGTTTTTTAATTAGAAAGAAATTAGTAAAAACACACGCCATATACATATATATGTATATCTATCTATATATCTGTCTATATCTATATCTATATCTGTCTCTCTCTATATATATATCTGAACCTTACCAATACGTTCCTTGTAATGGACCACAGGGCTGTGCAACCTCCTGCTGTTCATGATACTAAATGTGAACACATGAGTAATAATTCCTCTTCTACCTGGCCAGAGACTATTTTCTCCTTCAATTTATTACCTAAAGCCTATACCTAGACAGTCATTCTTTCAGATGAATTAAGATTAGACATATATTTCAAACACTACATCAAGCCCTATATAGCTTATGTGTATATGAGGAATTTCACTTTTAACTCGAGAACAATCCACACACTCCATCATATATTACACATTATATAAAGCTACAGGGGACTCCAGATCATATGAAAATTACTTGATGAATGTTTTGTTTTTAGTCTGCTTAAATTTGGATGCCTCTAAACTGAGATAATAGAAACTCTTTCTTGGGGTTCTTCTGAGGAATTACTAACAGAATTCTGGCAAACCAGTGGAGGACA